ACTGCTCTGTAATTGGCAGCCCCCGTCTGTAGTCCTCACATAGTGCTCATTTCAGTTTATTTGCTCTGTTTCTTGATTGAGTTTTAAATAAAAATGTACCCATCACATTTGTCCTGGCTACATGTTCAAAAATTGTTGTGCAACAGTAGATGACAGTCTCAAACAAAATATAAAGAGACCCAAATCCTCTTGGTGTGTTTATAGTGACTATCCAAAGAAGACATCTGAATACCCAAGTCAGGTCCAGGGCAGACTGTAAAGATCATATAAAAACCTCATCAAGATCACTCCTGAAAAAAGGGAAATTTTTCATGCATGCAAGAAATTTTTGCATGCAGCAAATTATACTTGGATCCCATCAGTTCCTTCACTTCTCCATGGATCTCCAGAGCTCTCCATCCTCTCACTAATGGATATCAAAAAGAACCATTAAGGAGAATTTAGAAAAGTAGGAACTCACTTAGCCTCCTTAGTTCTTGCACTTCTTCAGAATCCATTAAACATATTTGCCTATTAGGGCTATGAACCCTCCATATTGTACCCTAGATCCCTTTTCATGGAAGATCCATTTACAATCTTGCTGCCTAAAGAATATCTCCACTAACGTGATTTGTAATATGCTACTTTCATTTAACAGTTGATAAAAATAGTAAAACAGAAGCTTCTTCTCTCTTTCCCCATAGATTAAAAAGTGTCGTGGCCGGCAGTTGTGACCCCTTTCTCCCCATACCCTCTCTAGAAGTAGGGCAGGGCAACTTGTCAAACTAGATTTTACTTATCAGACTAGATTTTAATAATTATGGCATACAGTTCACCACAGCTGCTTGCAGCTCCCATTGATTGCAGTTCAACCAATGGAAATTGCAGGAACCGGCACAGGCTGGGGCCTTCTGGACCATTCCTTCCCACAGCTTCCATTGTCCAGGAACGGTGAACTGCGGCCAGCAGGAGCAGTGATAAGCATCCACAGGCACAGCCTAGATAAATAAAACATCTGGCAACCTGCCAGAGACTAACCCTGGTGAACTGTGTCCAGGCTGTGGGCTGCTTATTGTCCACTCCTGCATTAGGGGCAACACCTTTCCTCAGTGGAAGCCTAAGTAGCTAGTTGTGCACTGGGGGAAAGAATCTTAATCAGCGGGCTTGCAAAACACCTTTGGGCTGCTCTGTGGCTAATGCTGCAGCTTTGGATTTATATAATTGAAGATCTGTTGCCCCAAATGACTTCTTTGGTTAGAGCTTGGTCCTACTGCATGCTGGGGTGTGCATCCTGCTTGTGGCTACAGGTATCCTCTTTCTAAAGAAATGGCTGAACTGTACCTAGTCTGCTATCATAGGACCCTTTGTCCCTGTATAGGTGTGGGAAGAGGGATGTATCCTAATCAAGAGGGTTTGACAAATAATGCAGTCTACTCACCCGTGGTGAGTAGATTGCAACCCGGAAGAGCTGGGTTCAGGCGATCTGCGCATGCGCAGATTGCCAGACAGCGTGGCTGACGAGCGGGGCTTACCGCAGTTTGGTGAGCCCTGCTAATCAATAACTCTTCCTTGATATCTCATATTCAGAAATGTTAATGCTGGAATTGCCTTGCATGGCATACTGTTTATTTTGCTGGTTTTTGTTTCTTGTTTTTTATTAATTCTTCCTCCAGTTCTCTCTGTGTCTAACTGAAGTTCTGACACTCAATTTTTCTTTACTATTGTGATGTGGCATTGCATATTCTTTGAGAAAAATTTATAGTATGCATATACCATAACTGAGATATGCTTTATGCAAGATAATTCATATAAGGTATCATTGGAAAGGTTATAATTTACCGAATATTATTTTCCTATTTGTATGCATGTATCATTTTTGTAGATCAAATTAGGAGTATTGACCCGTGTCTCTCTATTTCATATTTGCTGCTTTGGGTCACTCCCACTACTGACACTTCAGGGACCATGATAGAAAAGCCAGACAAGGCTGATGGGCCCATCAATGTGGACAATGGACTGTGAATAGGCTTGACTTCCAGGGGATACTCCACACTGCTTCTGATTCATGGTCAGGCCCACTGACATGGGGGTGGGGCGCAAAAGGGACAATTGCCCCAGAACCCAGAGATTCAACGGGGCTGAGAGCTCCAGGAGCAGTGGTGACCAGAGCCCTGGGCCCCTTAAGAATTGCTGCAGGAGTGCCAAAGCACTGCTCCACACACTCCGAGGATGGTAGCTGTTAGCCCCACTACTCATGACCGCTGTACAGTTTCAAAGTCAGGTGACTTGGTCTCCTGATACTATGGGCTTGTCTACACTGGCAAGTTACTACACTGTAACTTTCTTGCTTTGGGGTATGAAAAAAACATCCCTCAAGTTGATGGGGGTATGTGCAAAAGGCTGTTCATATCTTCCTTCACAATGAGGAGGGAGACAAACTTCATATAACTTTAGGTTTGCATCCCAATAGGCCATGTGAACATCTGGGTGGGGTAGTCAGAGCTGGCAGCAGACTACCCTGGGCCATGGGGGTGGGAGGAGGTGATTTGGCTGTGGGGTATCCGGTAGTAGCAGGGTCTTGGGCAAGAGGAACAGGGCTAAGAGCAGCCAGCGCTCAGCACCACCTGGACTGCACCACACCAACCCACCCAAGCACAGCAAGTTATAGTGCTGTATAGCACCAGTGTTAGCTGGTCCCCAGCACTATTAGCTACTCCCCTTGCAGGGGTGGTTTACCTAGAACACTGGGAGATCTCTTTCACCGCATTCTTTCCGTGACCACCCTGCTGTATTAAGTTCTGTCATAGCAGTGCTTTAACCACAAATGTGTAGACAAACCCTAATCTGCATCTTGGTCTGCTGAACTGTTCAATGGGGAACAGGGGGGAAAGAGATCAGACAAAGGTTTCCTGCCTTATGGAAATGCTATAAGGGGGCAGAAAATAATCATTGTCTTCAGCTTGCTTTACCTCTGACTATCCACCCCAACGCGATACTGAAAACACTTAGAAACAAAAGGGTTGTACCTGATGCTGGGGGAGAGATGTGGACCCAGGCTAAGAGTTACCTAACCTGTGAAGGAGTCTACCTGAAACAGTTATTAGAATAGAGTGAAATTATTTCTAACCAGTTGTTAGTGAATCTATCATAGATTGAGTGCTTTGTATTATTTTCTTAATAATCTTCTTTATTCTGTTTGCTACTTCTTTGACCACTTAAAATGTACCTTTTCATAGTTAATAAACTTATTTTTGGTTGATAATATAACCAGTGTCAAAGGCTGTGTATATTTTACTTCACAATGAGGAAGGAGGTAAATTTAATATAACTTTGCATTTGTACCTCGGGTGGAAGAGGGGGAGGGAGCTAAGCATCTGGGTGCTGTAGTTAGGCCTGACAACAGACTTCAACAGGCCCTGGGAAATAGCGGGGGGGGGGGGGGGGGGGGCCCCCGGAGGGGGCAGAGTCTTAGGTAAACAGGGTGTAGCTATGGGCAGCCAGCCCTCAGTGTCTCCTGGACCACTCTGCTCTTTCCCCATGAAGTAGCAGTGGCAACAACCTAGAGCCCCAGGCCCTTTTAAATCACTGGGCCCCAGGACAATTGCCCCCCTGTCCCTCCCCTGTTGGTGGCTCTGGCTGTAGTAAATCCTTTAAGATGAGTTCTCCCAGGGCTGTTCTCAGTGTCTGTATCGGCAGCTCAATGAGGCCTTGCTTTTGGTCTTTGCAAGGGGAGGCTTGAGAGCCTGGCTCAGCAAGACCAAGTAAAAGGGAATCCAGGCTGGTAGAGAAGGTGGACTAAGTGGTATCTTAAGCATATCAGTTGGCATCCCATGGTCCCAAACCGCCACAATGACCATGTGTGATATAGTGTATTAGTACTACTGTAGTCATAACGTAGAGAGATGGATTGTATGTAGCAATAGTAGTGTTGTTAGTTTGTATGCTTCAGGTGCTGATAGAGAAATCAAAAGTAATCTTTTATTCCCTAGGGAAAATAGATTAGATTGTGTTGATGTGAAATTGCCCAGGATTCATGAACTCAATATTGGCTCATAAATGTGTTGATTCAGGAAATGTGTTTTCATTTTTTTTCTGACGTAGGCAATTATTGTGTTTATGGTGTCAGAACATTTACTTATATTCAGACAAAATATAGATTGTCCCTTAATAGGATGGATCTTTGTATAATTCATTAAATTCCTTCTGCCATCTGAATTGTGGTGATAATCTTTACAACCAGTGAAGTGCTGTTGGCACAAAAAGGACTCTGTGACAGGATTGTGAAAGGCAGAAAGATACCTTGCTACCTCCTCGCAATAAAAATTAACTTTACCATTTATGTTTTCAATTATGAAACTATGAATTATGGAGAGGTGTGGAAAGCAGTGCCTATAAAGGACTCTTGAGCAATTAATGACTTGCTCAAAATTTTGAGAAAATGTTAACGTGCTGCTTAGAAAGAAAAGAGATTGGTTATAACTAACTCCTTCCCATAAATTCAGGATGTTGTTTCATGTAGTATTTATATACTTTTGTTGGCAGTTTGCCCTGTGTAGATAGGGCATTGAGGAATACAAGAGACTTTTAATTCTTATTAGTAGGTAACTTTGACTGTCTGGCATAGTACTATTTGTAAATGTTGTCTATCTTATTATTAGGGCTTCCAACGGAGACTGTAGCTCAACAAGTCATTTTTGATTAAGTGTGGTAATTCTCCTGGATTCCATCATATTCACAGAATTATATCCATAAATTGGCATGCATATTTTTTATAATCTAACTGATTCAATGTAAGGCATATATAACTGTTTGCAGAGTATACAGTAATGCCTTTCTATGAAATGTAAGTGGGAATGTATGTACTTTCGTGCTTTTACATTAGTTGTTATTTTTGATCATTTGATTTCACTTTGCCAAAGTAAATTAAACACCTAATGATTAGTATTAACAGTTATCAGTCTTTGTTTGTTGTTGGAGGCAATTTTATTAAACAGCTTTCCTTTACTGTTTGTTGTTTACAGTTAAAAAACCTAAGTTTAGAAGAATTGCAAATGAGATTAAAAGCTTTGGACCCTATGATGGAACGAGAAATTGAAGAGCTTCGTCAAAGATACACAGCAAAGAGGCAGCCTATCCTGGATGCAATGGATGCAAAGAAACGCAGGCAACAGAATTTCTGAATTTGTTTTAGTCTCAAAGATAATGCTAGTAGTTAACATGGACACTTGTTAAACTGTAAATCTGAAGGAATTCTATAGTTAGAAGAGGTGTTTTTAAACTTTAAATTGTGCTTCATAACCAAACAAAGTTGGAGCAGTGAAACCTGTATATGGTGTTCAGCAAAGACGGTGGAACACATACTCCTCTGTGCATTTACCATACTTCTATTTTCAAATATTTAATGTAATAGAAGTTTAATCTGTTACTTTCTGACCTCCCTCAACTATATAGCAGTAAATTGTTGTACAATGAAGTGTGTTTAGGGTACCTGCAAGATTTTTAAGTGTTTCATGATTGTCAGCACTACAGGGCCTTATGTTGCAATATATTTTTTCTCCCATTTAATAGCATATTTATTATGTACTCGTAGGTGATTGTATTTATTTTTATGCCCATTTACTTTTTAAAACTTGGGTAATATTAGGATAATTGTGGTGGAGAGCAGTCCCAGATTAGTTTAAACTGAACATGGGAATGCAAAAAAAAAAAAAAAAAAGCTTACTGCTGTATTAAAGTCTTGATTCGGAACAGTATTTATGCATGGGTTCAAGTTCCATTGACATTGGACTTTACGCACACCCTTAAAGTTAAGCATGTGCTTAAATGCTGTCCTGAAGCAGGATCTATGGCTGTAAATGAATGACACTGTTGCTACAGTAGAGAACATTCATGTAAGGCTCAGTTCTGTCACCCTTACTTACTAAATTGCGTGGTCTCTATTATGAGGAAACAAGTGCCTACTTAATTTTAATTCTTTTATAGTGCAGGAGAAGCAACAAGGACAGTCACACCTATAGTGTATATTTCAAGGTGCTATTACAATTCTTACATTCTGACCAGTTTCAAACATTCTGCACCACAGTTTTGTAATGAAGCAACACCTACACTTTTTGACCAGTGTTTTTTACCTGGTTAGTTTGTATTATGTTTTGTTTGTTGTGGTTTTGGATTGTAGAGGTATAAGGGACACTAATTTTAAAGCCAAAGAAAATCAACTGAAAGCTTGTATTATTCTGTAATAAGCCCCAAAAGAAGCAAAGCTTGGCAATACCCCCAATCCTACATTCATTGGACACTCAAAATTCCCATTGTCTTCTGTGGGAGTTTTGGGTACATATGGAATGCAGGACCCATTCTTGTTAATATTTTGTTCATTTCTTGTCTTTGCTTCATGTATGTAAATATATGATAGGTGAAATATATCACATTGCAATAATTACAACAGTCATTTGTATGGAAAAGTGATCTGCTTTCTGAACCACCAATTGTGGTCACTAGTCACTTATTAATATTTATATTTTCACCATTTTTGCCTATTGCCTAATTAATATTACTTTAATATTCAGATATTTCCGTAGAAATCAGACATAATGACAATTACTTGCAAAATGCAGCTATACAAATTTTAATGGTTATTGGCATCCTTCCGATAAATGTTTTTTGGAAGTTAGTAAACATCTTGCACCTCTTATCATTTACTGTTGTCATATGTGGATCATTTATATGGAACAATGCAGCCTTTGGAAACTATGCATTATCTCTAAACAGTCTAACCAAATAAGGAAAAATAGTTTTAAACAGATCAGCATATGCATAACCCTTCTGGGACCAATTCTTTTCTTTAGTTGTTACATAGCCATTGTTATCATTTCTGTTCTGTGCATGTGTTTAATTCCAACTTGTACATCATAAATTCAGATACATTTTAACTGTGGCAGTTAGAACAACTGCCTTCATACATTCCTAAGTTTTAAAAAATGTGAATTGCCTTTTGCAAAGAAGGAAGGAAAGCCTTAATAGATATCCATAAACCTTATGGTAAATCAAGATGCCCCAACATTGTGCTTTTACTGCCTCACAACTAAACAAGCAATGAAGTGATAAATATAGTTTATGAAAATGACAGCACAGACTTCTGAATATATAGACCTGTTTTTCAAAATAATTTCTAATTCTTTGCTATATCTCTTCTTTAAATTCATTGATGTGTACATCCAAATACAGAGATATGATAAATGGAAAGAATGTATGGAAAGCATAAAATCATCAAGAAGAAGAGAGAGCCTTATTTGTCCTTTGCTGTTGTGCCTTGTAGGCAATGAATGTCACTGCCCAAGTATGTCCTTTTTGCATCATTGTGAACTTTCTCTTCCCAAATTTTCTCCCACTTGCCCCATCAAAAATAAAATATATTGATTTTGTATTTGGTAGGATCACCTGGGTTCATAGAGATTTTGGAAAATTTCCAGTTTAGTGCACAGCATGTGTAATGCTTACCAGAGGGAGCCCACATTAAAGGCCATTAGCCAGGCTAGAGCTTTTCTAGTGATGTCTGAAAGACAGAAGGACTTAAAGCACATTCGTTCTCAGTTGCTGAATCTGCCAGCAAGCCACACTTTCTCTCCAAAAGAAGCAACCCAATTGAATTTTACATGTTCACCAACACCACAGACGCAGGAGAAAAGTCAAAAGCCATGGTGAAAATTGAAAATGGAATAAGCCACCTGCGATGGGAAAGTTAATCACTTCTGAGATTATTGTAACTCAGAAACAGGAATTTTTTATGTCCAATTTTGATATCCTTCAACTAATATAAAATTCAGTAACTCTGATATCTGTTACAGTGAGTGAAAACCCTCTCACAAACTTCAGTGGAAACTAGATCAGACCCTTAGTTGTGTGCAAGGAGTAAAATCTAGAAATAGTTTTATATTAAATACTTTTTATGTTTTTCTTTCTTCTGTTTATTTACCAAATCACAGCATCCATGTTCATGACCACATTTATCTCCACTGAAGAACAAGCATTTTCTGTAAAGGAACTTAGGTAGCACACTACAACATTGGAACATCAAAAGTTGCAGTAAATTCAGTAGAACTACTGGCACATTAAGAATCAGTATTTTCTTTTTTGCTTCCCATTTTGTATGTTTAAATTCAGCATGTAAAAATCTCTGGGAAAAATAATTACTTTTCACTACACATCTAAATAAAAACGTATTTTTCTCTTATGGATGTTGTGTTGTTCACTCCATCTCAAGGTAAATCAGAATTGCCAAGTACACCCAACTCCAGTTGAAGTCAGTGTTACTCAGCCCTTCTGAAAATCAGTTTTTGAAACCCTATCCAGCAGAAGGTATCCACACAGACTTTAGAAGCTGCATATTGGGATCGGAGGTAGATAATTTATATAGGATATAAATAGTAGGCCAAACCAAGTCTCCCTGTTTAGGAATTAAAGAGCTTGCTTAGGGGTGAGAGTTTATGTAGTTTCTCTGCTGCATTGCAGCTCTTAATGCTAAACCTGTCTTGCTGACTCCACCATCCATGGCTGTCGCAGTCTATAGGCACTACTGCACTGCTAGGGTTGTAGTAACCATGCTATATGTGATTTCCTCCTCTCCCCCCAGAAGAAGAAAGGGGCAGATCTTAAGCCAAAGTTTGTTGTATTTCACCCACCCAAGGTGTCATGGCTCCTTTCCCACTCTGGCATGATAAATGCAGAAGTGGGGGCCAGCAAGTGTACCCCAAAGCCTTATCTACCAGGCTTTGGTATAAAATTTCCCCCAAGATCTTAAAAACCTAGATCTTGGGAATAAAACTTCCGCTGCCACCACCCAAATGTTGATAAAGCACACAATTAACCACTGCCGGGTTAATAAAAAGAAAAGAAAGAACTTTTATTATTACAACAATATTCCGGTTGCAAGTATAATGACTAGATAGGAAGGTAACAAAATATACTCATGGAGAAATTCCATGGGCCTAGAACTTAGTTACAAAGAAAACCCAAAACATCTTTTAAGCAGTGCCAGATCTCAGATCCCATACCCAATCCTTAAAACAATAAAACCTAACGAAACTACCTAAACTTTACCCTACTTACAGAAAATGAAGAATGGTGTCTTGGAGAGAGAGAGAGACATGCTTGTCCCTCTCTGTAGCTGCAGAGAACTCTCCCCGAGAGACAAAAAGGGAAGAAAGGAAAAAAAAACCCAAATTCCTTTGTCCCAGTTTGAAAAGTCCCACCTACATTCCTATTGGTCACTCTACCTGGCTAGGTGTAGTTAACCCCTTAATCTCCAGGCTGCTGGCTAACCCTCATAATCATGACACAAAGTACTGGAGAGATAATGTTGAGAGATGGTACGTGTCACAATTTCAGGGAACTGAACCTTTGCACCCTGTCCCCCTCCCCTTCCTCATGGTCTGCTCCAGGATTGCCCTATTGGGTCAGGCCTCTTTGGGTATGTTTACACATCAAAGTTATTTCAGGATACCAGAGGTATCCCAAAATAGCCACTCCGTGTCTTCACAAGCCAGCCATTATTTCAAAATATTTTTTGAAATAACGGGCGCGCTATTTCGGCATCCCGGTATCCCTAGTTCCACAAATTGTGTAGCACAAATTGCATATCTTATTTAGAGATTAAAGTTCAGTGTAGATATAGCATCTCTGGGCAGGGACCTGCATCCCTCAGTTTCCTGACCAGGGATTAGCCTTGCTGCCCGCTTGCAGTTGCATTGTGATTACCTCTAAACTAGCCAGCTCTCCCTTCCTCTCCTCTCCTCTCCTCTCCTCTCCTCTCCTCGAAGCCAGAGCTTACAAGTGGACACGTATTTAAGGACAAAAACATCTAGAGAAAACAAACAGTAAAATGATCTATATGTATATTTAAATGTACAGAAAGTCACTCGTCAGGCTTTGGGGATCCTGGCAGGTTCAGGCCTTCCAGATAGGCTTGCCAACTTTCTAATTTCAGAAAAACAAACACTCTTCAAAACACCCCTTCTCTGAGGTTTTGCCCACTACATCCCCCTTCGTCATTCACTTGCTTTCCCCCATCCTCACTTGCTCATTTTCACAAAGCTGGGGCCAGGAGTTGGGGTGCAGGAGCGGGGGGAAAGCTCCATTTGGAGGTGCAGGCTCAGACGGGGGGATGTGAGCTTAGGATGCAAAAGGGGACTCTGATCTGGGGTAGAGGGGGTCAGAGTATGGGAGGGGACTGCAGGCTGGGGCAGGAAGTTGTAGAGCAGGAGCCGGTGGGCAGGGGCAGTGTCAAGGAGAAAGTTTAAATGCAGTATGGGGCTCAGGGCTGGAGATGAGGGGGTTCAAGTGTGGGAGGGTTCAGGGGAGCAGGCTCTGGGCAGCACTGACATCAGATTGCTCCCAGGAAGTGCCATCATGTCCCTCTAGCTCCTACATGGAATCTCTGCAAGCTTCCTCTGCCCACAGGTGCCACTCTTTTAGCTCCCATTGGCCACAGTTCTTGGTCAATGGGAGCTGTGGAATTGGCACTGGGGTGGAGACAACACATGGACTGTGGCTGCCCCTTTATCTAGGAGCTGAATATGCTGGTTGATTCACATAAGCCACACAGCAGTGGGTAGGGAGCCTGACAGTTTCACTGTGCCCCCAACCAGACTGTTGATGGCCCAGTTGATGGTGCTTTCTAGAGCCGCCAAGGTCCCTTATCAACCAGGTGTTCCAGTTGATAACCAAACAGCTATGAGCTGGCAACTCTATGTTCAGAGGGCTTGGCCTCCCCTTGGACAAAAGATTATGTCCATTTGGTGAAACAAAAGAGAGGCCACTTTGCCAGGTTAATTGGGTCCTGTGCATTATTCTGAACCATATGCAAGTCACCCCTGAAGGAGGTATGTCTCTGAAACTATGCGTGTATGTGCACGCACGCACATGCACACGCACCTCTCCCTGTGGTAACTTTTCTTTGTGGAATCCTCAACCTGCAACCTTTGTAATGTCAATAAATTGTTCGCAAAGATGCTGCATTATCTATTATGGTTGTTGAGGAAAGCACCCCACTACTGTGAGGGAACATTCAGTTCACTTCCCCCTATCTTGTGTGGATCTGTTTGGATTCAGTGTCCCTTATTTTCTTCAGGAATGAAGTTGAAAGCCTGGGAAACAGTCTTTAAAAAGCACAAAAATGTGTACAATTCCTAACTGGCAGTGAGTCAGGCAAGCACATATTTTTAGACATCAGAGGACAAACTGAGTATAGCTCTTTTTGCTATTATGTGGCACCATCAAAGAGCAAGTATCCCAACTGAATAAATAGCAGTTGTAGGAGTTCTGGAAGGCCAAAGGGGCTGCTTTCTTAATCCACATTTTCATCTTACCCTGATGAAATGTGTACTATTTTCTGCAGTTCTGTTTCTTACAAATTGTAACAAAATACAAAAATATTGTGCTGCTCTCAGTATTGTAAAATATGTATAATAATATTTATCCAACTTCAGGGTGAGATCATCCTCTGATTTTTGCCCTGCATGGAGAGAAAAGAGCAGAAATCCTACTCAGAGTACGATGAAGGCAGCTGAGCACCTCCTTCTCATCTTGATGACATCCCTTTTGGGGAACTAAGCTTGTTTTGTGGCTTGATCCTGAGAAATGCTGAATTTCTCTGTGCCCAGGGAGTTGGGGGTGCTTAGCAGTTTGCAGGATCTAGTCCTTGGTGCTGTGCAGGTGCAAGGAGACATGAGTGGGTTGGAGAGAGATGAGCCTGGGGAAGCTGCTCTACTTAACATCCCAAAACTGATTGAAATGTTCCCCTTCTTTTAAAAAAATTATTCTCCTTTAAGCCTTTGTCCACATGACTCCCATGTTGAGTGAGGTAACAGTTCTGTGGCTAATCTTTGAATTCCCACACAGCACAGTTTCCTTATGCACAGAAACTCCCCTTATGAAAGAACTAGAAGGTGCTCTAGTATTTATTCCTCACTTGTCTGCCTTTGCATAGATACATGCAGAGCAGAAAACAGTGTTCGTTGGCTCAAATTACCCACATGTTCAGCTATATTATACATTGAGCCTTCTAGCATATAAAGCTGGTTCTTTGTTAATGAAGCAGTGTGTAAGTATGTGAGATCAGCTGTTAGTGACCGTTCTTGCATCTGACAATCCTAAGTAGAGTATGTACCGTAAAGTACCAGCTGATTAATCAGAGAATGTGACAAACTGATTGTTACACTGATTGCATATACATTGAGTTATAAAAATAAAATAATTAAAAGGGTCTGGGTCTAGAATATGACAAGAAGCCTTTGTTTCTTTGCATTCTTAATCATTTACGGCCCAATCCTGCACCCATTTAAGTGCATGTAAAATTCCCATTGACAGCAATGTACTGGGAATTTAATGATAAGCTCATCTGTTGTACTGCACTGAAGTGTACAGTACTGTTAACACAGTATGTCTTAGCTCTTAAAATAGTTCACGGAATATTTTAGCAGATTGCCAAAGTCCATGTTAATTTTTAAAAATATGAAAGTGACATAATGTGGGATGTTAACTGAAATATACTGCTGAGTTGGTAGAGGGGTCTGGTGAAAGATACCAATCCAGGAATATGAAGTGGTTTAATGAAGTGGTTGGAAAATTGGAATCAGAACCACTTTTTATGCCTGTTAACTTTTAAAAGCATCAGTCTAATTTATCATTAAATTCCCCTGTTTGCTCACTGAACAGTTTGCTGCTTTTTTTTACATTTTAAACTTCTAGAGATAGTAGAGAAAGCAGATGAGCATTCTGTAATGTCACAAGCAAACTGTACAGACTTTTCTTTATAACAGGGCTACTCAACACACAGCCAGTGGGCCACATGTGGTCCACAGCCCATTTGCAGCTTGGGTTTACACAGGGCTCAACACGTGGCCCGCGGGTGGGATCTTTTGAACATGGCCTCCACTGGGAACATGCTCCACAACGGCGAGGCATCTCCCAGGTGAGGTGAGCATTGAAAGACGCAAGCGGACGGGCTGGCTGGAACAGACTGGTACAGGGTGTCAGCGTTTCTAGCACCCAGGGAGGAGGTGGCATTGTGGGCATTGTCCCGGGGCATTGTGGGAACTGCTGACTGCTTAGCCTTGTGGGCAGATCCTGAGAGGTGCTGACTGGCTCACACTGGCCACATTTGGGTCCAGCACCACGGCTTAAGGCTTAATCTTTGTATTCATGCCCATCAGTGTGAAAGAAGCTATTTGCATA